ATTTTAAGCACACAGGGAGTGCGCAAGTCTTGTTTATGTATGTGTGTTTGCAACCCGAACCCTCATGGTCCATAAATTTTAATATTCCTTGTGAGTGCTATACCCAAGCACAACACAAAGTGCCTCACACAAGTCCCTGCCCAGAGCGCTAGTTTAGCGCAGTTCTCCACCAAGACACATTACACACCAGGCCTGTGCTCACAGCTCACCCTCTTTCTGCCACCACTTTCCACATGCATCTTGCATGACTCGCTGGTGATTTTAAACAAGCCCAATAACAGCCCTACAACACACGGCTCCTCGCATCGCCATGTGACCGTGATATTATTCATCTGTGGCGGGGGCGGGGGCGGGGGTCCATTGCTTTTCTCCAGCTCCTCCAAAACAGAGCTGGAGTAAGGAAGGGGAGGGTGGAATCGTACTGTGTTGCGCCCCAGGCTCCTTTTTGTGTTTACCTGCCCCTGCATGGGACTGATGCTATTTTCAGTTCCAAGGCTCAGCCATGGTTAACTGGCCCTTGCCTCTTCATGCCATTTGCCTTAATAATGTGGGCCGGACTCTCTGCGGGGAAAGTAGCCGCCATCCTGAGAGTGGCTAAATGACACAGTGGAGTTCATTGATGGAAAGGATTACACGCTCGCATGCGGGGCGGCAAGGCGACGGGTTCTCTGAAGGGCACTACAAAGAGAAGCGATGCAAAATCTTCACAGGGGGAGAATGGACTGGCTTACTGTATGTCAGAGGGCGAGCGTTGACATAATTTGTGGCGTCACACTGTTTATCGTGTTGCTATAATGCATGAGTTAGGAGCCTATGGAGGCCAAGTAAATATGTGGACCCAATGAGAGATCTTTCTGTGGCTCTGAAAAGTAATAAATAGAAGTTAAAAAGATAAATGTTTCAGATATGTGAACCAGTGTATGTCATTATGTCATGGTTATTACATTTAAAGCAGTCATGTGTGATCATTTGACACCACAGTAGAACCTTATGTTTGCACTGTGTATCCATTTACATTTCCTGTTGCCAGTTTTGTATGGCATTACATCCTATGTTATTGTAGAGCATTTGACTGTTGTGAAATGCGACCGCTTCCCCCACTGTCCCCTAATAAGGAGAAAACAATATGACTTGTCAAGGGGAAAAATCACCCAAGCACCAAAGATCTGAAAGCATATCAAACGACAAGCCGCAGAACAAAGCATAAGCTGTCTTTTAACAGTCCTGAACAATAAATGAATAGATGTAGCACTCTGTTTTACCTCTGCCCTCAATTAATCCGTATGAATCCAGCCACCATGTATTAAAATGGCCAGATGCTAGGATAGATTCTGTTGGGAGCAATGACATGCAACAAAGTGATATGAATCATCCCCCCACACTGTGCAGCAGCACACTCTCAGAGGGCCAGTGACACAATTTATGGAAAAAGGAAAACAAGACACAGCCACTTGAGTATGGATGGACTGTCAAAAACGACACTGTTTAAAAAAAGACTGTCAGGCTGTGTTAGAATTAAACATGTAACCATAATTTCCACTACAGGGCCAGTATACATACAGCTCTTTAACAGAAATGTAAATATCAGATTCAATCTGAGGCCAGAAATGCAAATGGGAGACTCTGTACCATTAGTCAGGCCACGTTGAATATTCAAACAAAGATAATTATCTGTGGATTAGCCCCATTGAGAGCTCCACTTGTCAGCTGACTCTTAGGAGAAATTGTTTAATCATTAAGACCTTTTGCTTTCTGAGAACTGCCAGCAACCACAAGCCTGATTCGAGTAAGTCTGATTGTCTTGTGCCCGCACTGGAGCTGGACTTGCTCTATGTGCGTACAGCAAAGTTGTCACATTGCATTATTTCTGAGTTGTGAGCCATTTTAGCAATTAACTAACAGTCACTTTTAATTAATTTTGGTTTTAATGGTTCTTTTTGAAGTGTATTTGTCTGCGAGGTTCTGCTCTGCCACTCGCAATATCCAAAGCCTCAGAGAGGTCTCAAGAAGTCAGGTCCATCGTATGACAACATGCTATGCATCAGCGGGTGTGAACAACTTTTCACACTCACATCCTATAGATTCTGCGCCCCTTGAGACATGATATCTATAAGAGCTGCTGAATGCGAGGGCAGTGTGAAAGCAAGACCCAAGGTCATTCTTTGGAGCAGAATGGTCGAACAGGCAGTGATGTCGGCCCCATAGCTGGCGGTGCTTTGGCCCAAATATCTCCTCCTATTCTAAACATCGCCTATTTTTCATTCTGCACCAGTCTGTGACCAATCACGCCCCTAGCGCAGAACGAGAGATCGGCACCGGCTACCCCCCCCCCGGATACTTACCGTATTCATCCGCCCGCTACAGCCCGGCGGTGCCCTCCTGCAACCAAAAAACAAAAGCTGTTAGCATTTCAAAGATTACCTGTATTAGAAAGGGATGTAGAACGCCCCCTTTTTCTCCTTTTTCTCCTTCTGAAATGATTCCTATATCTACAAATCTCTACCGCTGCATACATAAATATCCAGCCTCTAGCAAGTCAAAAAAAAAGGAATCAAAGGCCATTCAAGAAAGGAAATCATAACATTATATCTATATTTAGCTTCCGTTGTCTTAATTGGCATGAAGAGTACAATCAGATAAGCCTTTTGACTGTGACTCACATGCTGCTTCAGGAGAGGGAGAAATATCATTTACCAGCCTATATCTCCTGCCAAGATATGTTTTTTTTCTTTCTTTCTTTCTTTTTTAGCGTGTCTGTGTTCATTATGGTGCTATTACTCAATACTCATGTGACCGGTAGCTACTATACCTGCGTTTACCTACATCTGTTGGACACACAAACACCAACTGAGAGCTTATTTTAAACTACACTTAAAATCCTTGTTGTGTGAGCGTTTTATCTCTACAGCAGTCACAAAAGCCAGCAACCATCGAGCTCCATGTCACTCCCATGTTGCCCCTATATTAAGGTCTCTGTGGTACTGGTCCATCTGGGCTCTGTGAGGTCACTGCACACACCACCTGCTCCGATCCGGGTTTTTGCCGTGGCTTCTGGGTAGCTTCTCTGGGCACGCGTGGAGAGGCAGATGTATAGATTTAGTGGTACAAATGCCCTCAGACACTCATAAGCATAACACAGACACGCATATAATGTCTTACTGCACACACAGGGCTTACACTGGCATGCTCCACACACAATCTGTACAATTTACATTTCCAGTCATTTTGTGTTTAATGAGACTTACTGTATGTGTTTCACTAATATAGGGAGACAATCGCTCCTCGCATGCTCAGGTGGACTTAATAGGCTTACAAGACTAAAAATTGGATTGGGGTTAGCGCTTTCCATGGAGGGAGAAATGTATTGTCAGATGTTAATTTCCTGAAAATAATGTCTAAACAGAAAGCAGTCCTCTCTGCATGTACTATTTGTTCAAGATCTCATGCAACACTGTGGATCATCATTCATAATTGTCTTGCAAAGGCACTCCCTGTGTGACAATAATGATCATTTACATATAGAATGATGTTTCTGTTCATCAGTGACATAGCATTTAAGGGTTGAAAGAGAATTCCTCCTGCAGTTAGCCCCTCAGTCCGCCCAACAGAAAAAAAAAACCTCACTTTGTTTGAAATGTCCACAAAGCTTTTGTTTTTATTTAACCGAGGTCCTGTTGCCTATACACGTCCTGTTGACACTGTATACACGGTTGATACCGCCACCTGTCCTTTTTATTGCCTCTGAATGGACAAAGAAATACTTTCCAAAAGACTGAATTACCTCCTTGATACTCTGCACGATAAACAACAGACATTTGAGGTTACAGTCTTGTGCTCATTCAGGAATGGTGCAAACAATGTAAACTAATTATCTATTCATGGACGATCATTTAATTAAACACAAATGAGAGCTTCTTTTTTCTTTATATTCATGATCCTGGAAAAAGACATTGTGTGACTATTCTATTATTTTCTACATTATAGGGTCTTTTTGTGCGTGCGGAGGATCTCAGTGCTTTATTATTACGCATTCTGGCAGAGGAGTCCCGGTAGGTGCGGTGACATTTTTACAGGAGCAGCTTTGTAAAACGTTTACTGACACTTTTTTAGGGGAGCTAGAAAAGATCAGGGCCGTCAGTTCCTTTAAACTCCGAGGTGCTGCAAAGTCCCATCTGCCTTAGATCCCAATAGCGAGGAAGAAGGGGTGAGGGTGACTGATGATAGGGCAGTCATCTTGTGACAAATTATCACAGGGAGCTCGCCAAAAACGATTACTGATCCTGGAAGTCAATATATATATATTCCTGACATTTTTCTAGTTTAATGATTAGAAAACCTACAATTCCAAATGTGCACTAATTTAGCCAAGAGATTTGCGACTGGTGTTTACACTACAAAAACGCCCCGAATCGGTTTTATTTTGTTTCTTAAACATTTTTATTTTATTTTTACAACAAAGCTGAGATCATGAACTGAATTCATGTTAAGGAAGTCATTTTAATTATAGTCTGCTTTTTTGTTGAAATTCCAGAAACGCGTCCCGCAACCTCCGAGCAGAGCGCGCTGCTCACGTTTTTGCATATATCTACTGTATATAGAAACAGACAGACAGATAGATCGTGATATGGTTTTAAGGTGGACATTTTTTGCAGTGCACGGAGAGGATTTTACTATGTGCGCAGCCAGACCCCGCCTGCTCACCGCGCGTCACTGGCGAGTAGTGTGGACGCGGAGTCACTCCCCTGCCTACTTTTAATAGCTTTGTCATGTGATGGAAAGCAGTTGTAAGACAGGTGCCCTCGGTTCATTCTCGGCGAGGGGCAGCAGTTGCCTGTGTGAGAGCGAGTGGGAAGCGTGTGTGGATTTCTTTTTTACTTGATTTTCTTTCCTTTTTTTCTTTTTTTTCTTTCTTTTTTTCTTTTCCCGGACCGTCATTCAGTGGCTGGATGGCGTGGGACAGGTGTAACCAGGACTCGGTGTGGAGAGAATTAGAGGTGAGCGCATCTTAAAAAAAAAAAATCTTCATCTTTCTAGCCCTCTGGACTTTCTTTTTTTTGCCTCCTTGGAACGATGGACAACACTGACTATCCGAGACAGTGATTTTGCACATAAAGTCTCTCGCTGCCTGCTGCTCTGCTCGGCTGGCTGGCTGGCTGCTGCTGGCGGTGCCATGCCGCCGGTGTAGTGCGCGTCTGGACGCAGTTGAGGATGCAGGGGGATATACAACAGGAATATATGACAAGTGGAGGGGGAATGTGCGGGAATCTCCCTTTTTCACCTCAGTTAAAGATGTAGTCGTTGTAATTGGTGCACAGGCTCGGGGGACCCATTGCTTTCCTCGTAGGATCTCTGTTCAGTCGGAGCGAGTGCTCGCAGAGCTTTTGGCGGATATCTTTTCCAGCCCGCGGACTGCACGCGCTCCGGTGCCGAGAAGGTTTTTCATGCCTAAATGACTGAAATGTCTCAAAGTCAGGTATTTGGCTGACGCATGAAACCCACTGACGATAACAATCCCTTTGATGTGCTGTGTCGGGATAGCGCATGTTGTGTTCTTATTTTTTTTATTTTTTTTAAAAGGCGAGAGCAAAGGTTGTCCACACTGACTGACCGCTATCTGGCATTGCGCAGGAGCATCATAACACTAACCGGTTACCGGGCCCGTCTGTGTGCCAACATCCCGGAGGAAGCTTTGCGCTGGCTGGAGAGCAACATCGCATCCAGCCAGACTTGATCATGTTTTGTTTTGTGCGTATTTCACCGTGTCTCCTGCGCCTTTTGGTAAAAAAAAATTCTGTTTGAGCAAAGTAATCAGCTCCAAATCGCTCCCGTCGTCTGTTGAACCTAGTTTACCTTTTTTCTCGTGCATTCAGATAATAAAGCACATCAAAAGGATACTTATTCGTCCCCCCCACCTTTTTCTAATTTACCGGGTCTTGTTACTGACATTCAGCTCTACTTGGCAGTAGTTGTGTACTTGGCTGTGCACAGGAGCTCAGTAATGCTTGAAAAAAAAGATTCTCACTACATGGTGTAGACTGCAGTCTGGCTGCATGTTTGTGGTTATGTAGGCTGCGTGATGAGAATATGAGAAGGAGAAAAAACTGCCTTTTGCTTCATAAAAGTAAGGGTGTGTTGTTTCCCACAGATTTAAGAGACTGCTTTTCATTAGGATGCACTCCTTTGCACTTTAATCACCGGAGCATACACGTTCTCTGTCACTTTCAGCCAGGTAGGCTTGAGGAGAGAGCGTCTTCCTCTCCGTTTGGACTGCGATAGCGTTTATCTCCCCACTGTTAATCCAACAAATGCACGCGTTTTCATTCGAGCTCCTTTTTCGACTCGTTCTATGAATGAAATGTATGCACATAGACTCAACAATAAAAACCTTGCTTTTGCAATGAGAGAACTCTTATCCAGCAGCTCGGTCCTCTCATAATCTTCCCCTAGCAGGTGCTTTATGTGCATTTCGTGCGTAAATCACTGCAGCGCTGTGCGCCCCGATTGTCTGTCTGGCGGCGCTATTTCATTAGTTCACCAAGAAGTCCATAAGATAATTGGGCATAGGACGTCCAGCCTCTGAATATCCTAACATCTTTGGTGCCGTTTTTTTCTTCCCATTCCGTGCCTTGTCAGACTGCATCACCAGAGGGGGGGGAAAGCCTGAGACGCAGTAGTCTGTCCCCGTCGCTGTTGCGGTTGTAACATAACGGATTTGGCTCATCATAGAATAAGTCATCGTGTGTTCGTGTTGGTGCGAACCCGACGACAGATGAACTGTGACACCGGTGTCTGGGCGGTTTTTCCTACTTGGCACAGCATCCGTCTCCCAGCTTTGCCCTGAGCTGAACCCGGCTCTCATCATCCCTCACTCTGCGGGCCGAATACCTCCCGGCTTTGCCCGAGGATATCTATCATATATCAGTCTTAAGGCCATCCCGTGGCGTCCGTACATCGCTTTGCATGTTGTCAACCAAATTAGGAGAGTGTAGCCTATTAGACAGCCAGACATAGAGCTGTTTTCTCAGGCTTGGATTTGCATGTGCACAGTCACAGAGTGTAAACACGCCTCGACTCTGCTGTGTTTTTAATGATCACTGACTGTAGATCTCAAAGTTTTCCCACCTTGCACAGAGAAGGGTCTGCCTGACTGCTCATTTTAGCTGTTAGTTTTATGCCTGGTGGTGAGGGGGTGGGGGGGTTACATACTGAACTGAGTACATTGTCCATAATGATGGGGATAATTAATACTGAGCAACATCATGTTATAGGGATTTGGTAATTTAAAATGATCTTGCAAAATCAGCAAAGCCTTGTAAACCTGCCCCCCTCTCCGCTGAAACACCTTACACATCACCAAACCCCTCATTTCCAGTCCAGAGGCCCCCCCTCACCTGCAGCCAGAGCAGAGCTGATGATTTGTGTGGGGAGGAAGCAGGAACAGCTGCCACATACAGTACACACTGGCTAGATTACATAAAAGTGGCTGGTGAATAACAAAATGTCAACAGGCAGCATTTAGCAACACGGAGGCCAGCACCAATCTCAGAGCTCGGGGAGTGATGGTGGGAGGACACGGTGCGCTGTAGGTTGAGTACAAGCAGAGTGGAAACAGGTTTTAGGTCTGCATGTTGCAAAACCAGCCTGTGGAAAACTGTTGTGATCATTTTTAATCAATAGTGTGTCACATGAAAGTGGCAGACATATTCCAAATTGTCAAATGAGGGAATTTGGAACTTAATTTGTCATCAAGATGAGAACCTTAACTATTTGTGTGTCATATCCTGTAAATGTATGGATTTCCTTTGTTTCGGACTCAACAGACGGTTGACTCCTGTCCAGATTTTGATTCCACCAATTGTTCTCAAACTTGGCACAAATAATTCAGTTTGTGATTTGCATATGAAAGAGATGTAATCTTTTTTTTGTCTGACTCTCCTTGTCGTTTTCTTTCTCTCCAGTGTGCTGCCTTGGTTGGTGAAGACCAGCCCCTCTGTCCAGACCTCCCTGAACTTGACCTCTCAGAGCTGGATGTCAGTGACTTAGATGCAGACAGTTTCCTGGGTGGCCTCAAATGGTACAGTGACCAATCAGAGATCATTTCCGCTCAGTATGGCAACGAGGCATCCAATATTTTTGAGGTAAGTGAAGCTTACAGTAGTTTTTTTTTTATTTTTTATCACAGCATCTTACGTATTACGTATTCAGCAACCCCATCAATACTTGTTATTTATTGCATGGAAAGTTGCTGTTTCTAAGCAATATGGTGCTATGGAACATCTTTGCATCCACAGTGATTTCACTATACGGTCTCCCAGGGGTCAGGAGTGAGCTAGAATAATAACATGCCCTAGCAAACACAACATGCTATCGCACCCTTGAATGTGAGCCAAACAAATGTACAACTGCTACCAGTTTACAAACATGCTTTTACATTGCTCCGAAGTACAAAAGGGGAGATAACGTGAAGAACGATAAGCCTCAGGAGGACCTTTGTCCCCTTGTTTGGATCCTGGCTGCGACGGTAGGCTCCCTTATCAAAACTTGGAGCATTTATTTCTGCCCAGAGTCAGTAATGCGGGAGACATCTAAAAGAGCGCTGTGGTAGTAAACTCTGGACACGGCGGCTATATTGCAAAACACTTCTCAAAGGTTGGAGTGTAAAACTTTAATCTTTGCTTCCCCCTCTCACTCCCCTGTTTTCTTTCTCTCTGTCTCCGCTTATCCCTCTCTCTCCATCTGACTCTCTCTTTCTGTTCTCACCCGGTGACAAACGAAGTCCACAGAGGGTGATGATCTGGCCAGGGCCATAAAGCCATCGGTCTTGGGACTGACTTCCAGTCCCCAGTTCATTATAAGCCTTTATCAGTGCCAGAGATAGACAAGAAAGACTGAGATTGGATGCTTTAGCCTCGCCTCAGGAGGAAAAACCCTGTCTGAGGGTGTGTGTATGTGTGTGTATATGGTCCTGTCATGTAGTCACGTTTTCAGGGTCTCTGTTGCGTTTTTTTGTGTATGTGTGCATGAGTGTGTGCATGAGTGTGTGCGCGAGTGTGTACACATTCTCAGTGGTTTTGCAGGCAACAGTTGATAAGAGGCTAAATTCTTTCCACGTTTGACCTCCTCCGTACCACGGCCACCTTTTTCAGAGTCTCTTTATATCACCACACATTCTACCTCTGGACCACCCCTACACACACACACACGGGAAGGGGGGCCTTAAGTACTAGCTGGTGTGACCGTGGCTCCTCTGTCGTCTGAGAGTGATATGGCTTGAAGCCACCGAGTGGCTCTGGGGATGGATAAAAATACCAATGAGAGTGTATGCGTGCGTGTGTGTGTGTGTGTGTGTGTGTGTGTGTGTGTGTAATTTTAAAACACAATGGAACTCAGCATTCACTGAGGACCCTGACGAGGGAACGAGCTCTGAGCAAGAAGCTGTGTGTGACTTCCAATGTGGGAAAGAGCTTGTATTTGTGTGCCTGCATGATGCACATGCTCCCGCACACCAGCGCACGTGTTCGCATCCACACGAATACTGTACATTGCAGTTAAGCTGGTGATGTTTTCACACACTCAACAAGCCAGCAGTTATTGTATTATGCTGAGGATAAGGAAAGGCTTCTAATCAAGCAAAAACTGGGATTTCAAAGAAAGTAATACATTTCCCTGACCAGGGATTTTTTCTTCCATCTTTGGAAAGTTTCAAGTCACCATATGAAGTGCTCAGTTCATCATACGGCAGGACCCAGCTAATCCTACTTAATCTGACAGGGGAAAGTTTGCTGCTCGGCAAGGATCAAAAAGCTAGGGCTGCAGCTGTACTTCCTGCGCCCCCCTGATTGGCCTCTACACAGGGCAGAGAAGCATCCAATCAAAAGTTGAAGATTAGAGAACATGTTAATTAATGTTAACTGGACAGATTTAAAGCCTGTGAGTGTATTCTTTGTTTTCTTCCCTTCCATATTCATCCACTTCACAAATCAGTGTGTGGGCGTGTTTTAATAAAAATCAGGTGGCAGATTATCAAGGCTGCCCTGAGTAACATGTGTAACAGATGCATGCAGCTGTCACACAGGGGCCCCTCTTTTAACAGTCCCCATCAAACAACATGCTCCCTGGAATTTTGAACTGGCTTTCATTAATTCAAGTAAGTCAACTGTTGAAATGATTTGCAGCTCAGATGGAAAGACAAACACCTACTGTTTTTCTTGGGCTTTTATTCAGGTAGCAGTTCTATGTGACGGACAGTAGCAAATGAGTAAACAGAGTTTGACTTGGTTATACAGTACAGTTGGGGCCGGAAACATTGTTGACACATCATAGAAAGTTTTATTTGATAATTAAGGGGACAATGGAAACTTTCCACACCCTGTATATGCAGTGTAAGTGTACGTATGAATGTGTATAAGTCCATGTTCCTATCTGTGTGTGTTCTGTTCCCTAAGCAGCATACAGCCTAAGATCACAAGCTGTCCCCTGGCTGGCCTTCTGCTCCATTCCCTGCCACTGTCCCAACTGTCCCTGACACGAAATGTGGAGAATGATACACCACAACCCCCCTCTTGTAACACACACACATAAACACCCACACACACACATAACAGCTATCGCTCCTGGCACAGCGTGTTTGACACCTCTTCAAAACGGCCCGACCGTGAAAGTCCACGGTCTATTTTGGGCTGCAGTTGTTAAGGGGTGGTTACTCCAATAAGTTCCCAATGTACTGCCAAAGATAACGGCATAGAAGCGTGACCCAATGTCTTTTTAACCGCAGGTCTCCACTTAGATATCATGTCGAGCTTCAACCGGTTGATTGATGGAAATGCCTTTTGTTGGTTTTGGTTTACTCGCATTCCGATGTGGATGTCGCGGGTGGCAGTCGCACTGGGATGCGGCATGGCCGCATCACACGTATACAGATACAGGCATTTACAGTTGTTGTAGGTTGAGTCAGTCTATGTGATTACCGGAAGAAAATTGGCACAGAGGTTACCTTCTGACATATTATCACTGCTGTGCCTGTCCTTTTGGGAGATACACTGATGATAGATGGACAGGTGGGACAAAGGGACAAGGGCAGATAAAGAAAAGTGAAACAAAGAGATATGCAGAGATAGATGGAAAAGGCCAGTAGATGACAAGACAGACAGACAATGGTGACAGATGGGTGGTGAAAGGGACAAACCTGTGAAGCTTGAACCTAAATCAAACGCCATGGATTGGAATTAAAAGGCTGGGGGCTTTGCAGGTAGTAAAATAAGATGCCGAGGCTTAAGGCATTATATCGTATAGGGACCGGCTGTGAGTGAAGACGCACATATGTGGGCCGTGTCAGTCATGCAATCTCTTTACTTCAACAGGATGTGGTGTGCGATGGCATCAGACTTTACGAGGCATTAAGGTACTTTGTCTTGCTTGTTTGTGCATTTTCGGACAGATGCTCAGGCGCTTATTCTTAAGTAAAGGCAGATTAGATTGATTGGGTCATCTTTAGCAGGCTTTGATGAAACATGCTGGGATGAGATGTTTTCCTCAAGCAGCCCTTCCTTCGCTGCGAGCACGTGTAAGCAAAGATTAGCTCACACACTTGTTGGCGATAGGCGCTCATGTGAGCTGAAACGGGAGTGCACACAAAGTCATAGACCCCCTGAAAAGGAATTGTTACGCCCACACACACACACACAAACACACGCACACACAGACAGCAGAGACCCTTATTGTCCCTGCTTCTACTCCCTGCTGAATGCCGGTTGCGTTTATTTTGCAAATTTATGCTGACATTTGAGAGTACACCACCCGCACCAGTTCACTGCTCCAGCAAAGGGTGTATGAATTATCATATTCCACTGTATAATATGATTTTCTCAAGTGAGTCTTATTAGAATACACCACACTTTCCTCATCTCGAGTTCCCTTCAGTTTTTACTGTGCTGCTGATACATTGTTTGCACTGTCTGATGGAAGAAATTCTCCGTCACTGTCGAACTGAAGGCAAACCGTGCTTTCAGACCCGCGGCTATGCTGTTTCAAGATACACAAATGAGAGGGAGCGCAGACAAGTAGGCACAGACATATAGTAGAGAGAGATGCAGTCTTAGGCTGTCCAAGCCTGTGTCATCTTGGAGCGTCTGTCAGATCCACTCCACAGCAAGAGCTCTCAACCCGCTGCCCTGCAACACTGTGGGCTCTGCTCTCTGCCATCCATTCGCTCCCTCCCTTCCTCCCTCTGTCTTTTTCGCTCCCAAGGCAAAGCATTTGTTCCTGGCTGATGGGAGGTTGAAGCTGCTGTGGCTAAACAAATATATTCTGGCCTCCAACAAGTTCTTCTGGAAAGAAAGGCTGGAAGGAGGTAGGGAAAAAATAAAGGGATAGGGAGCAGGCGGGTGGATATGGCACCAAAAAAAGTCCCCTTAGGGACAGTTTGGAAAAAGAGCAAGGGAACATCCTTTGGTCTGGTGGTGGCTGCTTGGCTGCCTGTCTAGCTCACTCCCTCTCTCTCACAGTCACACACACAAACACACACAGACACAGACAC